TACTACTGTGGTGTTCTGTAATCTCTCTATCACTGTGGTGTTCTGTAATCTCTCTGTGGTGTTCTGTAATATCTCTACTACTGTGGTGTTCTGTAATATATCTACTGCTGTGGTGTTCTATGATATCTCTACTACTGTGGTGTTCTGTAATCTCTCTGTGGTGTTCTGTAATCTCTCTATCACTGTGGTGTTCTGTAGTCTCTCTACTACTGTGGTGTTCTGTAATCTCTCTAATACTGTGGTGTTCTGTAATCTCTCTACTACTGTGGTGTTCTGTAATCTCTCTACTACTGTGGTGTTCTGTAATCTCTCTGTGGTGTTCTGTAATCTCTCTACTACTGTGGTGTTCTGTAATCTCTCTGTGGTGTTCTGTAATCTCTCTACTACTGTGGTGTTCTGTAGTCTCTCTACTACTGTGGTGTTCTGTAATCTATCACTGTGGTGTTCTGTAATCTCTCTACTACTGTGGTGGTCTGTAATCTCTCTGTGGTGTTCTGTAATCTCTCTACTACTGTGGTGTTCTGTAATCTCTCTGTGGTGTTCTGTAATCTCTCTACTACTGTGGTGGTCTGTAATCTCTCTGTGGTGTTCTGTAATCTCTCTACTACTGTGGTGTTCTGTAATCTCTCTGTGGTGTTCTGTAATCTCTCTACTACTGTGGTGTTCTGTAATCTCTCTGTGGTGTTCTGTAGTCTCTCTGTGGTGTTCTGTAATCTCTCTACTACTGTGGTGTTCTGTAATCTATCACTGTGGTGTTCTGTAATCTCTCTACTACTGTGGTGGTCTGTAATCTCTCTGTGGTGTTCTGTAATCTCTATACTACTGTGGTGTTCTGTAATCTCTCTGTGGTGTTCTGTAATCTCTCTACTACTGTGGTGGTCTGTAATCTCTCTGTGGTGTTCTGTAATCTCTCTACTACTGTGGTGTTCTGTAATCTCTCTGTGGTGTTCTGTAATCTCTCTTCTACTGTGGTGTTCTGTAATCTCTCTGTGGTGTTCTGTAATCTCTCTACTACTGTGGTGTTCTGTAATCTCTCTGTGGTGTTCTGTAATCTCTCTGTGGTGTTCTGTAATCTCTCTGTGGTGTTCTGTAATCTCTCTATCACCGTGGTGTTCTGTAATCTCTCTGTGGTGTTCTGTAATCTCTCTACTATTGTGGTGTTCTGTAGTCTCTCTACTACTGTGGCGTTCTGTAATCTCTCTATTACTGTGGTGTTCTGTAATATCTCTACTACTGTGGTGTTCTGTAATCTCTCTATCACTGTGGTGTTCTGTAATCTCTCTGTGGTGTTCTGTAATATCTCTACTACTGTGGTGTTCTGTAATATATCTACTACTGTGGTGTTCTATGATATCTCTACTACTGTGGTGTTCTGTAATCTCTCTGTGGTGTTCTGTAATCTCTCTATCACTGTGGTGTTCTGTAGTCTCTCTACTACTGTGGTGTTCTGTAATCTCTCTAATACTGTGGTGTTCTGTAATCTCTCTACTACTGTGGTGTTCTGTAATCTCTCTACTACTGTGGTGTTCTGTAATCTCTCTGTGGTGTTCTGTAATCTCTCTACTACTGTGGTGTTCTGTAATCTCTCTGTGGTGTTCTGTAATCTCTCTACTACTGTGGTGGTCTGTAATCTCTCTGTGGTGTTCTGTAATCTCTCTACTACTGTGGTGTTCTGTAATCTCTCTGTGGTGTTCTGTAATCTCTCTACTACTGTGGTGGTCTGTAATCTCTCTGTGGTGTTCTGTAATCTCTCTACTACTGTGGTGTTCTGTAATCTCTCTGTGGTGTTCTGTAATCTCTCTACTACTGTGGTGTTCTGTAATCTCTCTGTGGTGTTCTGTAATCTCTCTACTACTGTGGTGTTCTGTAATCTCTCTACTACTGTGGTGTTCTGTAGTCTCTCTATCACCGTGGTGTTCTGTAATCTATCACTGTGGTGTTCTGTAATCTCTCTACTACTGTGGTGTTCTGTAATCTCTCTGTGGTGTTCTGTAATCTCTCTACTACTTTGGTGTTCTGTAATCTCTCTAATACTGTGGTGTTCTGTAATCTCTCTGTGGTGTTCTGTAATCTATCTATCACTGTGGTGTTCTGTAGTCTCTCTATCACCGTGGTGTTCTGTAATCTCTCTACTACTGTGGTGTTCTGTAATCTCTCTACTACTGTGGTGTTCTGTAATCTCTCTGTGGTGTTCTGTAATCTCTCTACTACTGTGGTGTTCTGTAATCTCTCTGTGGTGTTCTGTAATATCTCTACTACTGTGGTGTTCTGTAGTCTCTCTATCACCGTGGTGTTCTGTAATCTCTCTACTACTGTGGTGTTCTGTAATCTCTCTATCACTGTGGTGTTCCGTAATCTCTCTACTACACTACACTACGCTATACACTACGCTATGCACTACACTATACACTACACTATACACTACTACACTATACACTACACTATACACTACACTACTATACACTACACTATACACTACACTACTACAATACGCTATACACTACACTATACACTACGCTATACACTACACTATACACTACACTATACACTACTACACTATACACTACACTACTACACTATACACTACACTACTATACACTACACTATACACTACACAATACACTACACTATACACTACACTACCATGCACTACGCTATACATTACGCTGTACACTACACTATACACTACACTACTATACACTACACTATACACTACACTATACACTACACTATTATACACTACACTGCAATACACTACACTATACACTACACTATACACTACACTATACACTACTACACTATACACTACACTATACACTACTATACACCACACTATACACTACTACACTATACACTACACTATATACTACACTATACACTACTATACACTACACTATACACTACTATACACTACACTATACACTATTACACTACACTATACACTACACTACTATACACTACACTACCATACACTATACACTACACTATACACTACACTATCAGTGCCCTACTTTATTTCAGACAAATGCAGACCTCGTTGGTCACCCCGAGCCCCTTAAACATCTCAACGCTCATCCTACAAAGCCCCATCACAAGGGAGAAACACAAACAGGGAGACAATTTTTACGTTTTTTTTATTTGCCCGCATTGAAACGGCTGTACGCCGTGTGGACCTGGAAACTCAATTTCCCAGTGCAAGAATACGGGAAAAAGTATGGGTTGACAGTGATGACCCACCGACCCACTCACTCACCCACTCACTCACCCACTCACTCACACACCCACTCACCTACTCACTCACCCACTCACTCACTTACTCACCCACCCACTCACTCATCCATCCACTCACCCACTCACTCACTTACTCACCCACCCACTCACCCACCCACCCACTCACTCACCCAACCACTCACTCACCCACCCACTCACCTATTCACTCACTCACTCATTCACTCACCCACCCATTCACTCACCCACCCACTCACTCACCCAACCACTCACTCACCCACCCACTCACCTATTCACTCACTCACTCATTCACTCACCCACCCATTCACTCACCCACCCACCCACTCACTCACCCAACCACTCACTCACCCACCCACTCACTCACCCACTCACTCACTCACCCACCCACCCACCCACACTCACCCACCCACCCACTCACCTATTCACTCACCCACCCATTCACTCACCCACCCACTCACTCACCCACACCCTCAACCACCCACTCACTCACTCACCCACTCACCCACCCACTCACCCACTCACCCACCCATTCACCCACTCACCCACCCACCCACTCACCCACCCACACACTCACTCACCCACCCACTCACCCACACACCCACCCACTCACCCACCCACTAACCCACCCACTCACCCACCCACACACTCACCCACACACTCATCCACCCACTCACCCACCCATTCACCCACTCACCCACCCACTCACTCGCCCACCTACCCAGAATACCTGCTGGATCTCCTCTCTGTTTCAAAGAACAAATTTGACCTCAGGTCTTCGCTCATTTACCAGCTTCACATTCCCTATTGCCGTACAAAAACTGGAGGAAGGGCCTTTGCTATTGATGCCCCCAGGGTCTGGAATGCTATTGCCAATAAACTGCAACTTGAATCACTACAAATGAGATCTTCACTCAAAACTGCTCTAGAGGAGTTGTACAACCCTAGCTGCCACTGCTAATCAGTGGCCTAAAATATGGCTCTAGATTTTGGTGTTATAATTTATTTATGTAGTTTATTGTTAAAAATTCGGTCACAGCCATGAGGCTTTTATTTTGGTGATTTCGAAAACGTTTTTTGTTTTGGCCATGTTTTTGTTTATTGTAGTACGGAGTTAGACTGATGGCCTTAATCTTAGTTGTCTTGTGGTTGTTGTTGTTATTTGGCTTGCATCCCACTGGGATTATTGCACACAGCGTTGGTGTACGGTGCTATTTCAGGAATATTTTGATTTTTTTCCTGGATTTTCTGTTTCCACGGTCACACAAAGTCACTTTAAGATGTTTTCTTGTTCATGTTTTTTGTTTGTTGCGGTTGCACCCGATTCAAGAGCCGAATGGCTCACAGGACTATACCAAATAAATTAACTATGAACTAACTCGGCTAGTCGAGTGCGGAGCGCAGCGCTCACACGTCACTGCCGCTCCCCTTCTGTCAACAAACTTGAACTCTGACCCCGCTCTCTGACGTCACCGCTTATCGTGACCTCATCGGCGTCAAACGCAAGCGGGAGGTGTGCCTCGCTAGTGACGTCATGTCACAACGTTATTCACCCCACCCCCGACCACCGCGCTCATGACCGTGACGTCACCTCCGCTTGGCCGCTGCCGATACGTTCCAGTGCCAATTCTTATTTGGGCAAAGCTACGCCCGGTGACTGGCGTCTCATTAACATAATGTCTTCGTGAAAGCCGTCGCGAGTTTTTTGTGACAGGTTCGGCACCCACGCCCCTTCCCTCCACGAATGGGCCAGGTTCATTAACATAATTTATTTAAATCACGGAGCCAATCGTTGAGTGTTAGAGTACCCACAAGTGACGTCATGTCACCTCCTGCTGCCACGTGACGTCGCGACGTAACAGAAAGTTGCCGCTCAGACCGTGCACTGAAATCCGAGGTAAGAAATTCTCATCGCGGTTGTGGTTGTAGTTGTGGTGGTTGTGGTTGTTGTGGTTGTGCTGGTGTTGGTGGTTGTTGTTGTTTACCGAGGTAGAGCCTCGCTCTCTCTCGTAGGGATGTAAATTGAGTAGCAGCGTGCATGGAAGCGATGTCCAGGTTGGAAGTTTACAACGTGGGGCCTATCCACGCGGGGCCTTGCCTCCTGCCCTCGCCTGATCGCGTTTGCTTCAATTATCTCGCTTAAGTTTAATTTGTCTTCACACGGCTCGCCACTTTGTAACTTTGTTTTACTTAAAATATTCACACAGTTTTTTTATTTTTTACCAGGCCCAGCCCGTTTAAGCTGCTATAACGCTCTTGTTTTCAGAAGCGACCTGCACACAACACAAGGTGAGGCTTAAATATGATCATTGGTTAAATTTCGATTTAAAGCTTTCGTGACTGCAAGGATTCATCTTCTTTGGTTCTTTCGGTAAAGTCACGTAGAATGAGAATAAAATAAATTGATAAAATAAAATAACACAATAATATTCTCACGACGTTTCGGCCACAACACAAGCGGCCTTCATCAGGTGAAGGGACGAGACTGTCTGGTAGGACAGCGCTGGAGTGAAAAAAGCCACGTTCAGATCACGACCTTTAAGCTGTGTCAGAAGAAACAAAGCGCCTTGACAAAGGAATTAGCATGTAATTTTCATTGAAATGGCCGAGTTATTAGCTTGTGACTGGTCACAGAAATGGCTATGTTAAAGTTAAAGCATACACATCCGCAGAGGCACCCCTTGACAAAGGAATTAGCATAGAATTTAGCATTGGTATGGTTTACAACATGGAGTATAATAGCGCCTCGCAGCTGTCTCTCTCCCCCTCCTCTGTTCCGACCTTGTATGAACTCGTCCGTCTGAACGGGGCCCGTAGCTATCCGTGTTGCTAAAGTTGAGGGTAAGAATCCACCCATTTTTTCGCTATATAGCATTGTGATATATAACGACTTATTGTTGGTAGCTTAGCTGATTGGAGAATATAGAGTTTATTGATAACATTAAGGTAATTTATATTTTAGTTTTTTTATTGGTTCACTATATAGTATTCATTATACATTGTATTGTATACCCAGTTACTGTGAATAGCTCAGATGTGTAGGCCTTGACTTCAACATAGCCATTTCTGTGACCAGTCACTAGCTAATCACTCAGTTATTTCAATGCTAAATTCGCCTAGTTATTTCAATGCTAAATTCTCCTGTTTGATTTGTACTAGGTGCCTCGGTGAATGTGCATGCTCTGACTTTAACATAGCTATTTCTGTGACCAGTTACAAGCTAATCACTCAACTATTTCAATGCTAAATTCTATGCTAATTCCTTTGTCAAGGGGTGCCTCTGCGGATGTGTATGCTTTAACTTAGCTATTTCAATGCTAAATTCTATGCTAATTCCTTTGTCAAGGGGTGCCTCTGTGGATGTGTATACTTTAACTTTAACATAGCCATTTCTGTGACCAGTCACAAGCTAATAACTCGGCCATTTCAATGCTAAATTATATGCTAATTCCTTTGTCAAGGCACTTTGTTTCTTCTGACGCAGCTTAAAGGTCGTGATCTGAACGTGGCTTTTTTCACTCAAGCGCTGTCCTACCAGACAGTCTCGTCCCTTCACCTGATGAAGGCCGCTTGTGTTGTGGCCGAAACGTCGTGAGAATATTATTGTGTTATTTTATTTCATCAATTTATTATTTTATTCTCATTCTACTTGATTTTACCGAAAGAACCAAAGAAGATGATAATTGGTTATTTACCCTTTTATCTGGCAACAAAACTGACACCTTTTTTACAAGGAGTCATGTTTACATTGACCACAATACCTGCGATCGGAACGCAGAGATAAAAGGGTAAAACACCAATTATATTTTGTTACTGGCAAATGAGGTTTCCAATGGTGTAAATGCTAACCCCGACCTCTCATACTCTGATGGTGCATTGTCTTTGAGTTGTGCGCCTTTTGGCGTCTTCTGGTCCAACACCATGTGAGACGAGGCTCTAAAGAAAGCTGTCTCGGGTGTGGACCAATCAATTTCAAGGACAGTGCATACATTATCAGAGTTTTTTGTTTGCGTTCCGACCGCAGGTATTGTGGTTAAGGTAAACATAACTCCTTGTAAAAAAGGTGTCAGTTTTGTTGCCAGATAAAAGGGTAAAAAAACAATTATGAACGTGAGGCTTGTCAACAGCGTGGCGGTGTTCACTCTGGACGCGTGGCGGTGTTCACTCTGGACGCGTGGCGGTGTTCACTCTGGACGCGTGGCGGTGTTCACTCTAGACGCCTGGTGGTGTTCACTCTGGACGCGTGGCGGTGTTCACTCTGGACGCGTGGTGGTGTTCACTAGACGCCTGGCGGTGTTCACTCTGGACGCGTGGCGGTGTTCACTCTAGACGCGTGGCGGTGTTCACTCTAGACGCGTGGTGGTGTTCACTCTAGAAGCGTGGTGGTTTTCACTCTAGACGCCTGGTGGTGTTCACTCTAGACGCGTGGTGGTGTTCACTCTAGACGCCTGGTGGTGTTCACTCTAGACGCCTGGTGGTGTTCACTCTAGACGCCTGGTGGTGTTCACTCTAGACGCCTGGTGGTGTTCACTCTAGACGCCTGGTGGTGTTCACTCTAGACGCGTGGTGGTGTTCACTCTCTACATGTGGAGGGGAAACCGGGGGATCCTGAGGAAAATCCACGCGACCACGGGAAGAGAGAGAGAGAGAGACACGCAGCCTCGGCTGTGTTGATTGATCCTCAATTAATTACTTGGTGGAGTGCGGAAGCATTAATACTGAGTGGATGAAGGTGGCCAGGCATGGGTCTGGACACACCACCACGTGTTTACCATGCCAGTGTGTGACAGTGTAAAATTTGTGTTTGCAGTAAAGTCTATTAACTCTGAACACGGAGGTTATATCGAAACAGTAGTTTCATTTTTGTTTTCCTCTGGAACGCTTTGTAAGCATGGAAACAGTCAGGAAGTTATCACAGCACACTTGCAGCTAAAGTCAGATCTGTTCATCCCAGCATTCAAGGACATCTGTGCCTGGCTTCACACCTCTAAGTTGCTATTGAACATTAATTTCTGCATAATACAAATAGTATTATTTTCAACACCCTTTGCTATGTCAGCTGAATTTAGCTTTCATAGATATTCCTTTTGTAGCCAGACAGCCGAAATTGTGTGCTCGGAGTTTTGGGTTAACATTCATTTTGAAGATACGAGGGCTTCCAGGCACGTTTGTGACCATTCGCCCTCTCATTGTGTGCCATAACAGCCCGTGTGATGAATTTGGGAAACTTTTTCACTCTATTATGAATATATTAATAAGTATAGACGTGTAAGTCACGTGTTACTGTATATATGCATTCCTCTGTGCATCGATACTGACGTGTAGATGGTGTGGATGTTCTTTTTTTCTGTCTGTAGCTGTCACTTCCTCTGTAGAATTGGTCTGATGGAGCTAAGGCACTCGGCGCGGCTCGGTACAAAAAGGCAACAATGCGACCGGCGTGCATACAGCACTGATCGTCCTGTACATTTGACACAGCACCAGAGAACTCGCACGGGAGAGAAACCCTTCAAGTGCAGCGTGTGTGGGAAGGCGTTTGCACGTTCATCTGCTCTTGTAATACACCAGAGAACACACACGGGAGAGAAACCCTTCAAGTGCAGTGTGTGTGGGAAGGCATTTACAAATTCATCTGATCTTATAATACACCAAAGAAGACACACGGGAGAGAAACCCTTCAAGTGCAGTGTGTGTGGGAAGGCGTTTGTACGTTCATCTGCTCTTGTATTACACCAGAGAACACACACGGGAGAGAAACCCTTCAAGTGCAGTGTGTGTGGGAATGCATTTGCATATTCATCTGCTCTTATAACGCACCAGAGAACACACACGGGAGATAAACCCTTCAAGTGCAGTGTGTGTGGGAAGGCGTTTGCACAGTCATCTTCTCTTGTAACACACCAGAAAACACACACGGGAGAGAAACCCTTCAAGTGCAGTGTGTGTGGGAATGCGTTTGCACATTCATCTGCTCTTATAATACACCAGAGAACACACACGGGAGAGAAACCATTCAAGTGCAGTGTGTGTGGGAATGCGTTTGCATTTTCATCTGCTCTTATAATACACCAGAGAAGACACACGGGAGAGAAACCCTTCAAGTGCAGTGTGTGTGGGAGGGCGTTTGCACGGTCTGCGCATCTTGTAGAACACCAGAGAACACACACGGGAGAGAAACCCTGCAAGTGCAGTGTGTGCGGGAAGGTGTTTAAACGGTCAACGCATCTTCAAAGACACCAGAGAACACACAAGCATCAAAAGATCCACAAAGAGCGGAATCTGAAATCTACTTGTAAAAGTCAAAGTGCAGTAATGAGCCCATCCCTCATGAAACAAGAACCTGAAGAAAATCCCAGCTTGGACACTCTTAAAGGTATCAAGGTGAAATATGAAGAGGTGAAGGTGAAATGTGAAGAAGTGATGGTGAAGAGCGAAGAAGTGAGGGTAAAATGTGAAGAAGATTCAACTCCAAAATCGGACCTTCGCATCGATTCATCTGCTCTTGTAACACACCAGAAAACACACACAGGGGAGAAACCCTTCAAGTGCAGTGTGTGCGGGAATGCGTTTGCACGGTCAACGCTTCTTCAAAGACACCAGAGAACACACAAGCATCAGGAGATCCACAAAGAGCGGAATCTGAAATCTACTTGTGAAAGTCAAAGTGCCGCAATGAGCCCATCCCTCATGAAACAAGAACCGGAAGAAAATCCCAGCCTGGACACTTTTAAAGGTATCAAGGTGAAATATGAAGAGGTGAAGGTGAAATGTGAAGAAGTGATGGTGAAGAGCGAAGAAGTGAGGGTAAAATGTGAAGAAGATTCAACTCCAAAATCGGACCTTCGCATCGATTCATCTGCTCTTGTAACACACCAGAAAACACACACAGGGGAGAAACCCTTCAAGTGCAGTGTGTGCGGGAATGTGTTTGCACGGTCAACGCTTCTTCAAAGACACCAGAGAACACACAAGCATCAGGAGATCCACAAAGAGCGGAATCTGAAATCAGCTTGTGAAAGTCAAAGTGCCGCAATGAGCCCATCCCTCATGAAACAAGAACCGGAAGAAAATCCCAGCTTGGACACTTTTAATGGTATCAAGGTGAAATATGAAGAGGTGAAGGTGAAATATGAAGAGGTGAAGGTGAAATATGAAGAGGTGAAGGTGAAATGTGAAGAAGTGATGGTGAAGAACGAAGAAGTGAGGGTAAAATGTGAAGATGAAAATTCAACTCCACAATCGGACTGCATCGATGGAGGCAACGTGAAGCAGGAGGAGAATTCTCACTGTGAGGCAGAGCGAGGCAACTCCCAGCAGTTTGTGGAAGTGGAGGTGTGGGTGGACTTCCTCCGAGACAGTACAAAGTCAAAAGGAGACCCGGTAGATGTGTAAGCCAGAGACGATGTCGCTCCAATAGATGCACCTTTGTCACAGGCCTTTAATTAAAATAACGTGAAGTTGAACACTCAATTCCTAGGTTCAACCTGCAGGGTAAGAGCGGCCAGTCTTTGTGGACCTGTGGGTTGGGTAGATCTCTAACCAGGAGCGAGAGCCAATAAGCTCCCAAGCATTCACTATGTTCTAATAATTAAATTTTTATGGTGCTTGCTTCATCGCCTCGGCAATTAAGAGTTTTGTATCGTATCTCGTCTCAAACACTCAAAGAGCACCCCCTAGTAGCAGCTGCCCCTGTGTGGAACAAGGTGGTGGCTGTTGTATATTTAGGCCTTTTTCCCAAATTGATATGAAGAATAATTCAGCCAAAATATTTCGTTTAATAATCAATCGAGGTGTGGCATGACGCAAAAAAAATTGTAACAACCACCCTCACCCCTCACAGCAGCTGCCTTCCACAAGTCACACCAGGCAAAGAAGTAGCCTTAAAAGGTAATAAAAAAAAAACCCAGGTGCAAAGAGGGGAGGGGGGGTGCTAATGAGATTCTGGAGAAATCTCTACCGGGCTTCAAAGGCCGCCACACAGCACGTACAAGCAATGGGCGCCACAATTCTTTCTGGGCGGCGAGAACCGAACAGACAATTTTTTTGGTTTATTTTAGTTCAGTAAAAATTCGAAACTTGGCTATAAGAATAAGTCGACATTTTGGATTGCACTCAGATTAAGATCCAGGCTACAATCTACATTAGTGGGTTATTATTTCTGGTATATTATTTTAATATTAATGTTATTCACCTTATTTTTATTATTCTCTCTGTGACTTTACCGAAAGAACCAAAGAATGAATTCTGGCAGTCACGAAAGCTTTAAATCGAAATTTACATACCAGTTAATGGCATAATTGCCCAAGTAAGTTTAAGTAAAAACTTGGTTTTTCTCCAACCTCAGGATATCAAAATATAACTCGACAATAAAGCCGAAACAGGTCAATCACACACGATCAAGATAATGCGTTCCAAAGAGAGAGCCTCCCAACCGCCTTTATCTTACAGAAGCACGTGGTAGCAATAAATTACACACAAGGAGGGCACCTTGCCTTGAGATATCGAACACCATGAAGGAATTCCAAACCATGATGGAAGAGAAAATGTAATACCTCAGTCGCGAGGGAAGAGCGGGGCCGGGGGGGGGGAGAATGCAACCAGGCAAAAGGAACCTCTCCCTCCAGATTAATTATGGAAATCAGAACATACACACATGTACACAGGACAAACAACTGCCCCCATTTTTGGTAAAAGCAACGCTCCACCTCGGCGTCTGCTTAACGCAAAGAGTTGAGCAAGGAGACAATCCACCCACACACACACATTACACACGTCGGACTAATAAGAGTACTCCGAAAGTTAGCCTTGTGTTTCGCCCTTTGAGTTACGCAGATACGGTCGTTTAGGAATATTTTAGTCATTCTTTTTGTTGTTGCATAACTGTACCAATGAGTTCATTGATGAAACTAAAAAAAAATTATTTAAAGGTTTCGTGACTGCAGGGATTCATATTCTTGGTTCTTTCGGTAAAGTCACGTAGAAGGGAAACAATAAAATAATAAAAATATAAAACAATAAAATTCTCACGACGTTTCGACTGCAACACAAGCAATAATCAGGTGTGAAAACCACAGCAAGAAAATTTGAAAAAAGTGAATTTTATTTTACATTTTTATTTTATTGTTTCCCTTCTACGTGACTTTACCAAAAGAACCAATAATATTTAGAAACATCTATGTTATGAATCTACACATTCACAGGGAGACTATTGTGTTGAAATCTTTCTTTTCATCACAGAATCTTGCCCGCGAATGTATTGAAGCCTTAGCCATTGATAAGCATTTGCTGAAGCAGGCACACTGCCACACAGCATTGTTCCAAGACATTTCGTTAATTGCATAATCTTACCAATGAATTCATTGAGGTCTACTTTTGCTTTCGGGACATGTTTATTTGTTGCTATTTGCATGAATATTGTCACATTAATTTTAAGGACTTTTTCCCATCGCCGTGAATGCTCGCTTTCCTCTGAGGAATTAACCGATTGTTCTGTTACCCAGTTTAACAAACGTAATCATTGACGGTTAAATGTACGGCTCAATGAGGAGAACATCTCCAGGAGTACTGTGTTGACATTACTAGCATAAGAGTTTGCATATTAGAGTGTTATGTTTTTGTTAAGAGATTAAAGTTGCTTAACACAAGTGTCTGAGTGGTGCCTTCCTAAGTTCATGCATAATAATATTAATTATAAGAACTATCCTGCGGTGAGATCTGAATCTTGAGACCTGACATAAACACACTAAGACAAAATCAGTAAAAGTTAAAGCGGGGATCATTGTATTATCCCGATTGATAATACAACCCTAGACAACGAGGCAGAGCCTAATTATAATTACATATATTAGCATAATCACACGCACTTGCATTAATTAATGCAATTACACCTCCCCAAATAGCATAACGTAATTTGAATGCATCATTAGACCTCCTTTGCCAGTTCCATAATGTAATTATAGGGTTTTTCCCCTTTTTTTCTGGCAACAAAACTGAAACCTTTTTACGAGGATTCATGTCTGCATTAACCACACTACCTGCAGTCAAAATGCAAACAAAAAACATACTATGACAATATATGCATTGTCCTTGAAACTGATTGGTCCACACCAAGGGACGGCTTTCTTTTGAGCCTCGACCCAATTGGTGCTCGACCAGATGACGCCAAAAGGCGTACAGCTCAAAGACAATGCACTATCAAAGTAACGAGGGCTCGGGGTGAGCATCTACATAATTAGACTTCCTTTGCCAGTTCCAAAACGTAATATTAGGCTTTTTCTCCTTTTTTTCTGGCAACAAAACTGAAACATTTTTACGAGGATTCATGTCTGCATTGTCCACAATACCTGCAGTCAAAATGAGCTCCCAAGCGAAATGCTGAAGGAGGGTGGCGTTTGTGCACAGACTGCCCTTCATGACATCATAACAACAGTCTGGACCACTGGACAGGTTTCGCAGGACTGGAAGGATGCCCTGTTGGTCCCCCTCTTTAAGAAGGGGGACCGCACAGACTGTAACAACTACAGGGTGTTGGATATCGACCTTTTTCCAAAATTAATATGAATAATAATATTTGCATATATATTATTTTTAATGACCCGAAATAATGAATAAAAACACACAAACCCAAAAACACGCAAACACAGATGGAAATCGTAAAAAGGCCATAAATGCATAGAATAATAAACTCCAGGAGAGGGCAGAGAGGTTATCTGCGAATCACCAGATGGCCAGGGGACGATTTCACAAACAAACCGGTTCATGGACACAGCCTCCAGGGTCACCAAGAGGGGAGGGGAAGTTAACTCAAAGGTAGAGATAGGAAGAGCCTCCCGGCCGCCTTTTTATCTCCCGCAGAGCACGAGAAAGGAATTTCACACCCTAGTGAGGAAAACTGATGTTACGAAGAGGGTCGCCCTCTCCCCCTCCAGGGGTGTGGCAGATGGCACACAAACACACACACGAACGCACACACAGACCACGCCCCCCCCCCCCCCCCCCCCCCCCTTTCTACTGCGCGGAGAGAATTATTTTTTTAATATAACGGCTTTCAAAAAGTTCAGTCAGGCAGTCCAACAGAAGGAGACAGTCAAGACAGATCAGCGAGTCAAGACAGTCCAGCAGACGAGCAGTCGCATGGAACGGCTGGCTCCGAGCCTCGCTGAGTAGCGAGGATCGCTGAGTCGCGATGTATCAACGAAAGTGAGTCATACAGCAGTGGAGGAAACCTGCTGTCAGCGAACCAGCACGGGCGCGTTCGCGCACTTCAACAAAGAGAGCACGTGCGACTCAACTCACTCAACATAAGAAAAAGCTTCGTCAGCCGCCAACAAAGTATCAGCGAATCAGCGCTGAGAGCGCTCGAGCCTATCCACAGAGAAAGCACGTGCAACATGGCCTCAACCAGCAGCGGAAAAGCATGATCAGCCGCCAACAACTTCAGAAAACCAGCGACCAAGCGCGTGCGATTTGAGTCATACAGCAGTGGAGGAAACCTGCTGTCAGAGAGCCGCCAACAACCTCAACAGAGAGAGCGCGTGAGATTCGGCTCACTCAGCAGAAGAAAAACTTGACCTGTCGCCCGCGAGCGCAGCGTCAGATACTACAGCAGCGGAAAGAGCGCGCACCGGCGCAGCTCATCCAGCAGTGGAGAGAAACTGCTGTCAGCGAACCAGCACGGGCGCGTTCGCCCATCTTCAATGAGAGGGAGCACGCGCCACCAGCGTGCCATCAGCACCAGCATCAGCACCAGCGCGTGCCAACAGCGTGCCACCAGCGTGCTACAGCGCGCAACTTTGCGACACCAGGGCTGAGAGGGCAGCGGCCCCGCACTCAACACCCATCATCGTGCGACGACGGCGAGCGTCGTGCTGACTCATCCAGCCAGCGGTGAACAGAAACTGGCAGCCGTTTGTATGCCCCCCCCTCCCCCACACTCTCCCCCTCACTCCCCCACCACGCCACAACACACAGGAAACACATTTTGGACACAAGAGATGCTAACCTCGGCGTCTGCTTTACGCAAAGAATTGAACCAGTGATAAAGAAGACACACGATACGCATATCGGGATAATCAAGAAGGGTTGCCACTCCAAGGTGGTGCATTAAAAATCAATTCATAACGAAAAATACTGCTGTCATTGATTTGCATAATAACCAATCGTCCTACTGTTAACGTGATATGAATGGATGTGGTACTGTGTGGGCAATTTTTAAATACGAATTTACATTATAAGGTTAAGGTTTTGATAGAATAGTTTCCATGTTTTAATCTCTATCTCAACAACCGATCGATTGCGTTATGCGTCGGGAATTAACCACAGGTGCCGTTATCAAAGTGAAACAATGCAATCGTGATGGTATCATGTTAACGCTGTGTTGAAATTCCAAGATCGAGAGTTTTAATATCCAAAAATTAAAGTTAGCTAGAAATAAAATTGATTAAAGCAGATGGTTTGTGTGTAATTCTTCCTTAAATTCTGCGTAATATTGTTCTGCGTATGAGATCTGAACCTTGAGGGGACCTATCACCACACATAATCCATAACACACGTAATTCATCATGTACAATCGAGAGTAATCGTATCCTTATCAATAATACGGAATTAAAGAGCAGAGTCGAATCGACTCTCTCATTTATGCTCACAACACCTACAGAACTGCATACGATCAATTGCGTTGTTCCAATTCATAACACAATCCTCGTCACCGAGGCTCGACCTGATAATCCATAACGACCTGCATTATCATAACCACGCCCACTCGCATAAATTAATACGGTTATCTCTCGAATCAGCATAATTTATGTACATAATTACACTGATTAACATAATTTCGGATAAATTATGCAAATTTAATTTAGTTTTCATTATTTTCATCAATTTTAATAACACCTATATATACAAGGGGCATCTCACTCCTCAGTGTGCCGGGAAAGGTCCTGGCAAGGATTATTCAACATCGCCTTGCTAGGCACGCTGAGGAGAGGCTTGCGGAGCCCCAATGCGGTTTCAGGAAATGGCGGTCCTGCACAGATGCCATATTTTCTGTCCGTCTGCTACAGCAGAGGTATAGGGAATTCCAGCAAGACCTACATCTCTGCTTCATTAACCTGGTCAAGGCCTATGATGCCATCATTACGCCTGGCCTCTGGGTTGTTCTTCGTGCTTTTGGAGTACCTGACCCTCTGCTCACGATCATTAAGGACCTTCATCATGGTGAGCGGGCCTTGGTACGTGGCCGGGAGTCAGAGCCATTCCCTGTACACCTTGGGGTGCGACAGGGATGTCCTCTGGCTCCCACATTATTTAACATCTATTTTGACCATGTAGTTCGTGAAGCCTTCAATAGCTGTACTGGGGGAATTTCCATTTGGTACAGATATAATGCGAGGCAGATCGATGCCCGGGTGCGGTCAAGGGATGGCTCCCTATTGGCCAACGACATTATGTATGCCGATGATTTGGTAATTGCTGCTCATTCAGAGGAGGAGTTGGAGGTGCTGCTGCTGAAACTCAAGCATGCCACTAAGAGGTGGGGCCTTAAAACCAGCCCCACCAAAACTAAGCACCTGCCTGGGTATTTTATACCATCGACACTCCACCCCCACAACTCCCAATCGGTGATGGGGCAGTTGTGGAGAGAGTGAAGAGTTTCCCATACCTGGGCAGTGTGCTCATGACCGGCTCCATTTTAACAGCAGAGATCTCACTCCGACTCAGTCGAGTGGCATTATCTTTTCATCGGTTGCGTAACGCTGTGTGGAAGCTGCCTGGTCTGTCGCTCCGCACGAAGCTTCAGGTCTTCTCGGCCACGGTCATTCCCTCCTTTCTCTATGCTTGCAAACGTGGACACCCTAATGGAGCATCTTCGCCGGTTGGAAACATTTAGGCTGGCCGGCCTACGATCCATTCTGGGTTTAACCAGGCTGGATTGTGCGAGGAGCTCACAAATCCTTGAAAGATCTGGGCAGGCAAGGCGGCGTTGGCTGTGTCATATAGCCCGCATGCCCAGCCACCGCATGCCTAAACAGCTTTTGTTTGGCAAGATAGAGGGGGCTTAATGGGCGCGGCATGGGCTAGAGAGATGTAGTGATGTGGTACAGGAGGACGTGAAGCTGAGTGGACTTGCCGATGACTGGTACCAGCGGTGTCAAGATCAGCCTCAGTGGAGGAGGCTCATGAAGGATGCTGCTACTGGGCAGTTGGAGGCAGTCGCCCTCCAACAACAATGGAGGGCGGAGGAGCGGTGCTCACAACAACGAACGGAGCACCGGGTGGCTAAAGCACAGCAAGTTGGCACAGTAGGGGGCACAGGTGGTGTATCAGCCAGTTATCTCAGTCAGTCGACCCGTGGCACCTGGGTCTGCCCCGTGACCTCCTGCCAGCGGGCGTTTGACACTTCACGTGGCCTCAAAGTGCACATGGCCTGGCACAAGCGTCGTGGTGACGTCACCGCCACTTAGTGGCGAACTGCGGTTGTTGTTGTTATCAGCGTCTGTCCAACCATAGTCACCGACTGTCAGTAGCAGCACGTGCCTGTTCAACTCCCACGACTTCACGCCACTCAAACTTGTGTGGTGCCACCGCAGCGGAGCAACTCGGCCGGCGCTGTCCTCTCCTCGCACCCCCCCCCCACGAACGCACGCACGCCCCCACTAAACACTCACATGCACCCCCGGAGGGTCTCGAGGGGCGGCCCCCGGGTACGATGGGTTTTTACCCGAGGACCCCTTAGGGATGTTCCACGGTTTCCACGGACCCACAGATTGGCCGGACCCCCCCCCAGGCCGGATTCCATCGCGCTCCCCCCAAAATGGGGCATAGAGCTTTACAGGCCGGCCGTGATGAAGCATACACGACAGGGGGGGGGGGGGTGGTGCCCAAGGCAGTCGCCCCTGCGGACAGCGTAAACAGTGGGGCGGGGGAGGGGGAAATCCCCACGGGCGCCCCGGGTGTGTATTCGGCCTAGCGGGCATCCAGGTTAACTGGGTGTGTATTCGGCAGAGCGGGCATCCAGGTTAACCGGTCAGTGAGCGATAAGGAACGCCGCTTCAAGGACAATGGAAGAGGGGAGAGGGGGAGGGGGGGTGACGTAGTGCCCCCCCCTCCCCCACGTAACGCCCAGAGCGCTCAAAAACGGCCGCAAAAAGCGTTCGATTGGACGCGCAGGATGATGTCATGTCACCAGGGGACTAAGGGATTTTGTGAAGATAAGAGGAGAGAGAGGGCCAAAATAGATCAGAGTTCTTCTTCTGGAGTCGTGTGGAGACCAGGTGCCCTCAACGTCCATGTCCTGAATAAACTAGTCCTGAATACCTCCAAAACCAAGGTGCTATGCTTCTCACCAGGACTAAAGCAGGAATTTATTTTTCCCCAATTACATTCCTTAAATAGTTATCAAATAGAGCAAGTCAAGATCTATAAGTATCTTGGGGTCATCCTGGATTCAAAACTGAATTTTGAAGATCACATTGATTATATTGGTAAAAAGACAAAAATAAAAATTGGTTTTCTGTATCGACACAAGCACTGCTTCCCCCCAATGTTCCGTTTGGAATTGATAAAAGCTACCAAACTGCCTCTACTTGACTACTGTGACATCTTATATTCTTGGTTCTTTCGGTAAAGTCACGTTGAAAGGGAACAATAAAATAATGAAATGTCGTGAGAATTTTACCTTTTTATATTTTTATTATTTCATTGTTCCCCTTCTATGTGACTTTACCGAAAGAACCAAGAATATGAATCCCTGCAGTCACGGAAGCTTTAAATCAAAATTTACTGTGACATCGTGTATAAATCAGCCCCAAGTACTGTACTGAAGAAGCTTGATTCCATCTATCACTCGGCCTTAAGATTTACATTGAACTGCCTATATAGGACTCACCACTGTGATCTCTACATTGGGTCAAACTTAACATCTCTTAATGTTCAACGGCTTGTGCACCAGATCGTATTTATTAACTATGTACTTACAAAAAAATCCGCAGACTACCTGCTGGATCTCCTCTCTGTTTCAAAGAACAAATTTGACCTCAGGTCTTCGCTCATTTACCAGCTTCACATTCCCTATTGCCGTACAAAAACTGGAGGTAGGGCCTTTGCTATTGATGCCCCCAGGGTCTGGAATGCTATTGCCAATAAACTGAAACTTGAATCGCAACAAATTAGATCTTCTCTCAAAACTGCTCTAGAGGAATTGTACACCCCTAGCTGCCACTGCGGTTCATTGGCATAAAATAAAATGTTTCACTCCGGATGACGCTGCAAAGTATTATCTGTATTTTGATATAGCGTGATCTTAAAGGTGCATTGAAAAATTTCATACTCCGACTGATGCTCCTGTTGTTGTGGAGTAACTCATGCAGCCAGCTAAGGCTCTAGGATTTGGTGTTACATGTTATGTATGTAGTTTATTGTAAAAAATCGGTCACAGTCCCTGTGATCACTGTTAGGTTGCAATTATGGCTTTATTTTTTGGTTATTTCAAAAACGTTTTTCGGTTTGGACATGTTTGTTTTGTTGTAGTACGGAGTTAGACTGATGGCCTTCATCTAAGTTTTCTTGTGGTTGTTGTTGTTTGACTTGCATCCCACTGGGATTTTTTGCACACATCGTTGGTGTACGGTGCTTTTTTCAGGAATATTTTGCTGTCTTTATTCATGGAAATTTTTGTTTGCACAAAGTCACATAGTCACTTTAAGATGTTTTTCTTGTTCGTGTTTTTATTTTTTTGTTTGTTGTGGTTGCACCCGATTCAAGAGCCGAATGGCTCACAGGGCTATAAAAAATAACCTGAAACTAAATAAACTGAAACTAAATAAACTGAAACTGATGTTTGTTGGGCGCAGCTGCGAACGATTTATCCGGGCAAAAGTCTTCGAGGCGAGAATCTTCCCCAACCTCCATCGTGCAGCTGTGAGGTGAGTGAGCGTACGGGGGGGGGCAATTCAGCCCAGTTCGCCGTCAGCCCTAGCGTGGGGTCATCGCACGTTGCGAGGGTGAGGTGATAAGAGGTTAGGCGCTGTCTGGAGGGGCTGGCTGGGGGGGGGGAACCACAAACAAGGGTTCGCTATTCGCGCCGGAAATAAAAAACCTCGGTGCCAGATTGTTGGTTGACGCGTGGTGTGAAGAGTGGCAAGAGCGGTGGGACAGCGGTTAGCGCACTGCTGTGTGTGGGTGACTCCAATCAGTGTGTGTACGGAGCGCGCATATATACAAATACATAGATGAACGTTCTCCCGCGCCGCGAGCGTATTGCGCAGAGATTAATTAATTGATTCCGTGCGCAGCCGGCCGGCTTGTTGACACGACGGCTTAGTATATTAATTAATTAATTCCAAACAGCTGCGAGCGGCGATTTAAACAAGATTACGTAATCCGCGCGGTTAGGACGCGTGAGTGGGGAGGGGGCCATCAGCCCCCACACTTGCTCCCAACACACAAAGACAAAGATCCCCCGTACAGCCTTAACAGACTGTTGGGGCAAGTGCTGTTAGCGAACACCTATTAAGGGTGGGACGGCACACGAGGGGGTGGGTGGCCAGCACCACGCCCGGCCGCCTTTGTCTCCCTAGTGGCGATGTTTACACACCACACCGGGTACTCGTTTGAGGCTGAGTCGACGTAGGGGAGGCTCAGGACCGGTTCAGAAAATCGTCACTGGCGGTGTTGGCCACGAGCGGGAATGGAACTCGGCTGGTGGGGTCACTGCCGTTCCCCTTCTGTCAACAAACTTGCACTCTGACCCCGCTCTCTGACGTCACCGCTCAGCGTGACCTCATCGGCGTCAAACGCAAGGGGGAGGTGTGCTTCGCTCATGACGTCATGTCACAACGGTATTCTCCCCACCCCCGACCACGGCGCTCGTGAGCGTGACGTCACGTCCGCTTGGACGCTGCCGATTTCTGTTCCATTGCCAATCCTTATTTGGGCAAAGCTACGACCAGTGACTGGCGGCTCATTAACATAATGTCTTCGTGAAAGCCGTCGCGAGTTTTTTTGTGACAGGTTCGGCACCCACGCCCCTTCCCTCCACGAATGGGCCAGGTTCCTTAACATAATTTATTTAAGTTACGGAGCCAATCGTCGAGTGTTATAGTACCTACAAGTGACATCATGTCACCTCCTGCTGCCGCGTGACGTCGCGACGTAACAGGAAGTTGCCGCTCAGACCGTGCACTGAAATCCGAGGTGAGAAATTCTCATCGCGGTTGTGGTTGTGCTGGTGGTGGTGGTGGTTGTTGTGGTGGTTTTTGTTGTTTACCGAGGTAGAGCCTCGCTCTCTCTCTCTCTCAGGGATGTAAATTGAGTAGCCGCGAGCATGGAAGCGATGTCCAGGTTGGAACTTTACGTGGGGCCTATTCACGCGGGGCCTTGCCTCCTGCCCTCGCCTGATCGCGTTTGCTTCAATTATCTCGCTTAAATTTTGATTTAAAGCTTTCGTGACTGCAGTAATTCATATTCTTAGCTCTTTCGGTAAAGTCACGTTAAAGGGAAACAATAAAATAATAAAATATATAAAACAATAAAAATTCTCACGACGTTTCGACCATAACACAAATGGTCATCATCAGGTGTGAAAAGCAACGGCAAGAAACATTTGAAAGTGGCGGTTTGTATTTATTTATAAACGGTGTTTTTATTTATTAAAAACGTTAGCACCACGGGCAGCGATTTGGCAGTTTAGAAGGACGAGTCCATCTATGTTCTGAAAAGAGGAGGGGGGAGACGAAAAATTAATGGATGCTGTCTGAATGCCACCGTAGGCGTGAACAATCAATTAAGACCTGAAATGGTTTATCAAATCCTTCCAATGATTGCTAAGCCAGAATCCATCTTCTCGGTTGAAATAGTCTCTGTGCTTGTATATGTGGATAGCCTCATGAACGAATCTCTCATGGTAGCCAGATGGCTTGCAGAGAACCTCTGTCTTGAGAAGTCAATGTCACATGACATTCACTTCTTTGTAAGCCATCTGGCTACCATGAGAGATTCGTTCATGAGGCTATCCACATATACAAGCACACAGACAATTTCAACCGAGAAGATTAATTCTGGCTTGGCAATCATTGGAAGGATTTGATAAACCATTTCGGGTCTTAATTGATTGTTCACGCTTATGGTGGCTTTCAGACAGCATACATTAATTTTTCGTCTCCCCCCTCTTTTCAGAACATAGATGGACTCGTCCTTCTAAATAAACTGCCAAATCGCTGCCCGTGGTGCTAACGTTTTTTTAAATAAATAAAAACACCGTTTATAAATAAATAAATACAAACCGCCACTTCTTTCAAATGTTTCTTGCCGTTGCTTTTCACACCTGATGATGACCGTTTGTGTTATGGTCGAAACGTCGTGAGAATTTTTTTTGTTTTATATATATTTTATTATTTTATTGTTTCCCTTTAACGTGACTTTACCGAAAGAGCTAAGAATATCTCGCTTAAGTTTAATTTGTCTTCACACGGCTCGCCACTTTGAAACTTTGTTTTACTTTAAATATTCACACAGTTTTTATTTTTTTACCAGGCCCAGCCCGCTTGAGCTGCTATAACGCTCTTGTTTTCAGAAGCGACCTGCACACAACACAAGGTGAGGCTTGTCAACAGCGTGGCGGTGTTCACTCTGGACGCGTGGCGGTGTTCACTCTGGACGTGTGGCGGTGTTCACTCGGGACGCGTGGCGGTGTTCACTCTGGACGCGTGGCGGTGTTCACTTTGGACGCGTGGCGGTGTTCACTCTGGACGCCTGGTGGTGTTCACTCTAGACGCGTGGCGGTGTTCACTCTCTACATGTGAAGGGGAAACCGGGGGATCCAGAGGAAAATTCACGCGGCCACGGGAAGAGAGTGAGAGACACGCAGCCTCGGCCGTGTTGATTGATCCTCAATGAATTACTTGGTGGAGTGAGGAAGCATTAATACTGAACGGATGAAGGTGGCCAGGCATGGGTCTGGACACACCACCACTTGTTTACCATGCCAGTGTGTGACAGTGTAAAATTTGTGTTTGCAGTAAAGTCTCTTAACTCTGTTGAACACGGAGGTTATATCAAAACAGTAGTTTCTTTTTTGTTTTCCTCTGGAACTCTTTGTAAGAATGGAAACAGTCAGGAAGTTAACACAGCACAGACATGCAGCTGAAGTTGGATCTGTTCATCCCAGCATTCAAGGACATCTGTGCCTGGCTTCACACCTCTAAGTTGCTATTGAACATTAATTTTTTCATAACACAGATAGAATTATTTTCAACACCCTTTGCTATGTCAGCTGAATTTATCTTTCATAAATATTCCCTTTGTAGCCCGACAGCCGAAATTATGTGCTCGGAGTTTTGGGTTAACATTCATTTTGAAGATACGAGGGCTTCCAGGCATGTTTGTGACCATTCACCCTCTCATTGTGTGCCATAACAGCCAGTGTGATGAATTGGGGAAACTTTTTCACTATATTATGAATATATGAATAAGTAAAGACGTGTAAGTCACGTGTTACTGTATATATGCATTCCTCTGTGCATCGATACTGACGTGTAGATGGTGTGGATGTTATTTTTTTCTGTCTGCAGCTGTCACTTCCTCTGCAGAATTGGTCTGATGGAGCTAAGGCACTCGGCGCGGCTCGGTACAAAAAGGCAACAATGCGACCGCCGTGCGTACAGCACGGATTGTCCTGGACATTTGACGCAGCACCAGAGAACTCATACGGGAGAGAAACTCTTCAAGTGCAGTGTGTGTGGGAAGGCGTTAGTACATTCATCTTCTCTTGTAAAACACCAGAGAACACACACGGGAGAGAAACCCTTCAAGTGCAGTGTGTGTGGGAATGCGTTTGCACAGTCATCTACTCTTATAAGACACCAGAGAACACACACGGGAGAGAAACCCTTAAAGTGCAGTGTGTGTGGGAAGGCGTTTGCACAACCATCTGCTCTTATAACACACCAGAGAAGACACACGGGAGAGAAACCCTTCAAGTGCAGTGTGTGTGGGATGGCGTTTGCACAGTCATCTGCTCTTAGAACACACGAGAGCAGACACACGGGAGAGAAACCCTTCAAGTGCAGTGTGTGTGGGTATGCATTTGCACGTTCATCTACTCTTATAAAACACCAGAGAAGACACACGGGAGAGAAACCCTTCAAGTGCAGTGTGTGTGGGAAGCCGTTTGCACGGTCATCTGCTCTTGTACAACACCAGAAAACCCACACAGGAGAGAAACCCTTCAAGTGCAGTGTGTGCGGGAAGGCGTTTGCACGGTCAGCGCATCTTCAAAGACACCAGAGAACACACACGGGAGAGAAACCCTTCAAGTGCAGTGTGTGCGGGAAGGCGTTTGCACGGTCAAC